ATCTCCATTCTGATCTCAGTGCATCTACACGAAGACGGGTCATGTGCTGATGTCAGTGGCTCCTACGACGGTGGGCGAGCGATAGCTACAGCTATGGAGATGACAGTCGCGAAGCGGCTGTATGGTGCATGGCTGTTGATCTCTTGCGAGGTTTCGTTTGTTGCTGCATGCCTTCGTTGTCTCCAAGCATAGCTTCCCACGAACCGAACTGCCTCCGCCTGCGTGAAGGTCGAAGCTCAGATCCGCACCGGCTGTCGCTCCAAAACGCGACTTCGGTACTCCTGCCAAGGTAGGTCTTGAGCCTGAGGTGTCTGCTCTGCACTGATGCATGTTCCGCAGCCTCAAAACGATGACACGCTTCCAGTTTATGTGTTGTACGAATCTGTGGGGCGTCATGTTGAGTCATGTTCGGCCACAGGGCGCCTCTGCATCGTGAAAGCAGGTGTATCGACAGTGGATCTCATTGCCGGCATCCCCCTGCAGAAATCGATGTGGACAGTTGCGGGAATGCCGGGCACAGGATTTCATCAATAAATGCCAAGCGACAAGGAAGCACCGCCGTGTCACAGGAAGACAGCGAGCTACGCCCAAAAGTGCTGCATCGCAAAAAATTGCTGATGGTGCAACTATTGTTGTCTAGGTCGGTATGCGTCCCACGGTCTCCCGAGCTGCAAAGTATTTTGATCTTTGAACCTGAAACCAGATTCTTGCTCTGTTCCCGATCACCCTGTGTTAAGCACAGTACCTGCAGCACGAGATCAAACTCTCGGCGGTGGAAGAAGTCCTTCTGCGCCTCGAAACAATGACTGTCATTGCCGCCATAACTACAAAGACGGCGTTGCCGTCTGGTGCTTCTGGTGCTGGTACTGCTACCGTGGTTACTCTAGTACCACCGGCAACAGTAGCTAGTGGTAGTGGTAGTGGCAGTAGTAGTAGCACTCGTATAAGTATCAGTATTAGTATAAGCATTAGCATTAGCAGTAGTAGTAGTAGTAGTAGTAGTAGTAGTAGTAGTAGTAGTAGTATTAGTAGTAGTAGTAGTAGTAGTAGTCGTCGTCGTCGTCGTGCTGGTGGTGGCGGTGGTGGCGAAATCAAAGGGCCAAAAGTTAGAAAGGGCATTCGTTTTGGCTCTGCACTCTTGTGCCGACGTTTCTATCTACACATGACAAGCGGAAGCACATCCTTGTGCGCACCCTGCTTTTGTTACCGTTAGACCCAGCACCACCACAAAGGACCATCCCCGTCCTCGTCATGGCCGTCATCACCAACACCCTCCTCCTACTGCGTCATCATCATCATCATCATCAGCAGCAGCAGCAGCAGCTGTGTCACCATCTTGATCATCAAAGCGAACGGGGCTATCATCGACATCATCGACATCATCATCATCATCATCATCATCATCATCCTCATCCTCATCCTCATCCTCATCCTCATCATCATCAACATCATCATCATCGCCACTGTCATCACCATCATGTTCACTATCACCACCCTCCCCATCATCATCATCATCATCATCATCATCATCATCAACATCAACATCAACATCAACACCATCATCATCATGATTCCAAACCAGCGCCAGCATGAACATGATCATGGACGACAACAACAAAACTACTCGTCATGCCAGCCATGGGAGGAGTGATGACCGCTTCTTCTTGACACACGGTCTCATTGTCCTACTTGTACAGTTCTGCGTTTCAAACATCCCCGCGAAGCATCAACCCCCCAAACTTGGTCTCCTGAACCGCATATCGAAGCAAGAGTCTTCGATACATCGAGGCCCATGCTCCCGTGCTGGGACTCTTGGGATCGTTGCGGTAGCTGAGCCACCTCCATCCAAGTCCGGAGCTTCGGGGTGAGTCGGATGAAGCCGTATATCTTGGGAAGGGCGCGGAGTGGGTATTCCCGGTCCTTCTTGGCTCGTTCTGTTGCTTGCACTGTTTCCTTCTAGAAGTCTTAACCTGTCGTTACCAGACAGTGAACCGTCTCATCAATGCACACTCAGGGCTTTTGCTCGAAATCTGGGCTCGGTTTTCTCCCCGCTGCCGCTCCCTTTTACTGAGCAACCGATTGCGTCTGGAGAGTGCAGGCGCTGCTGCTGCCAACAGCCTACAGTTCCGCTCCAGACCCGCAGATCCAGGCCCCGCGTCCACACAAACACCCCTCCGCAACTTTGCTTCGGCAGATACCCGCTGTGCTCGAACGGCTTGTGGGGGGTTACCGCGTGATCGACAGTCTCCGAAACAACGATGATGAGCTATGTTGCCCCAAACGCCTCTCGTGCCCTACGTGCCTGAACATCGGGACGAACGGGAAGAATTTGTCCTTGATTGTGACGAGTTAGCAGCGGATATGCAGTAGCAGGCTTTCCTGGTTCCGAACCACGTCAGGCCCCAGCATAGTAGATCTTCAGCAGCTCCCTGTTGAAGTCCTGCGCTCGCACACAATGCCCCCCTCCTCCCCCTCCTCCTCGTCGTATCCTGTGTCATTGCTCTTCTCGTCCCAAGTCTTTGCTGCTGTTCGTTCTTGTCGGTAGAGCGAGTCTTCCTGTTGCAATCTTCATGGTCATGCTGAATTTCACGGCGCTAGTTGTCCGCGATAATGGTGATGATGATGACGACGATGATGACCATCTTCATCTTCTTCTTCGACATCACCACCATCCCCATCATGGTCATCATCGTCATCATCATCATCATCACAAGAATTATCATCGTAATCATCACCACGACCATCATGCTGATCATCATCTTCTCTTCTTTGTCTTCATTTGCATAACCGCATTATGGCGATTGCAATTGCTTCTCATGCTGCTAGCCTTATCGCACTCATTCAGCTTTGTACACGGAATAACCTTGTAGTATTTGTGATTCTAATACTGACGATTTAGCCACTCATTGCTACTAATAGACCGGCCCAGCAGAAAGAAGCTGCCGCTCTTGAGGTACTCCCTTCCATTCTTGCTTATCCCCTGAGTTGTTTCCATCGCCTGTGCGCAGGCCCCAGGAACAACGCATAAGTGGCAAGTATGGCTCTGCTGTTGCCGGCGTCCTCATTCTTCAGGAGTGTCTCCCCCTGCTGATCGACCTGGTTTCCAGACGGCTCTATTTTATCATTGGTGGCGAGCGGAGAAAATATGTGTGCTACAATAGCAAAGGCGAAATGTATGTTGGCTTGACTGCAGTTGTTGCTGAATTAAGAGCATCACGCCCCAGGTACACCAACCAAATTGAAAAGCATCCAGATTATTGCAAGCATGCGGCAGATGTCTTCGACCATTGTGCGCTCTGTGTTTACACATTCTGAGGTGAGTCTAAGCCCAGCTCGGACATTGCAATGGCCGCACTGCATAAACGAAAAACAACAATTCCAGTATACCACGATGTTTGTTCATGCATCTCAAGTGCCTCCCTTCCGACATTACACTTTCGAGCGGGAACTCGAAGCGGGAAGACTCCAAAGGTGCCACCGACCCTTTTCCTGTGGCCATGTTGCAGCGGTATTCGTGTGAATGTGCCTGCCTTTAGAGTACAGTCGTCGCGGCGGCTGCTGCAGCTGGCGCCCCGCAGTGTACATATATGTGCACAGTTATGAACCTCGACCATCAAAAAGTCAGGAAGTGTTGAGGAACATGTTTGCATGAGGCCTTCCGCGCACGAGAGAGTATTGTTGTCAAATGTGGTGCAGCGGTGCAGCATCTTACCTGCACCATAATTTTAGGATCTGGACTCTGTGCAAGCTTGGTGCATGTCCAGGATGCGTATGTAGGAGAAACATCCAAACAAGAAGCTGATTACGAAACGAACAGCGCACCTATGCTGTGAGAGCTGCTGCATCCCCTTCGGTGCCTCCATGGGCACGGCGACCAGAGGCTTCTTTGCATCGGTGCCCGACTGCGCAACGCTCGTCAAGAGAGTTCGGTGGGAGGATCCAAATCCGACTCCGTAAACCCGAAGCCCCAAGGCCCTAAACCGAAGCCCTAAACCGAAACCCTAAACCTGAGCCCATTGGAGCTCCTCGATGAAGCTTGGCTGTGGTCACACACGGGCCTCGGCTGTTTCCTCCAACTTTCTCTTCGGGGCATCCTGCAGAAGAAATCGAAGCCATGGCACGAAGGGGTCGGATTTGGGACTCAATGTTTGGGGTCGTCGGCTTAGGATGCAAAATGTAGGGTTCAGGGTGATCATCCCCGAAGCATCATGATCATTATCGGCTTGGGGCTCAGGGTTCAGGGGTTCAGAGCATGATCATCCTTTTCACTAGAGTAGAATACTAGTAACAACAGAATATGGAGGACGACCTGGTCGTATGCAGCAGAAAAGAGTCACGATGCTGCCGCTTATTCGAGCTGAAGGTCTCGGCATGCCTAAGGTGTCGAAGGAGTGATGCAGCACACACGGCCAAGCTGGTCTACATGAAGGCCTATCGACTCTTGCTCTGCTATCAACAACTTACGCAACATCAGCAAACCTCAACAGAGCCTCACAAGTGCCATTTTCATTCAACTACGACACAAGTACAGTGAAAGAAGTTTCGGCGCAGCAAGAATGGATACTTCCACAACGGAAAGGTCGAGACTCTGGTGAAGCGCCCAAGGCCATGCAACCGTGAAATATGTTTCAGCCCTGTGAGTGTCGGGGTCCTGCATGGCTCGAGTTCACCCACTCCCCTGCGGACGCTCTGACAGCCGAACAGCTGCGGCAGGGTTCAGCGAATCGGGGGTATAACGCACTCCTCAAGGGAGGAAACAGTGGCTCAGCGCCAGAACAAGCCTGGAACCCATGCGGGTACTGCCTCAGCTGAAACATGTCAGCCCCGACTACTTGGTAAGGCCTGCGCCGTTTCGTCATGCTTTTATGCTTGGGTACCAGAACCCAAGATTGTTCTTAGGCTGCACAAGCCATGACGAGAGCGCCACATGACATGCAGTCTTGGCCATCAAACGTGTGATTGCTGACACCTTGTATGAGATGAATAGCCCACAATGCACCCTAGACTGAGTGCTGCTCAAGACCCTGATGAAAGGTCGCTCGGGGCCTTTCAACATGGTTTTTAATGGTTTTTTCGCGAGGGGATTGTTCTACGTGCAGAAGCATGTGCGCAACTCTGTGCATTTGCCAACGCTGCATGTACTCAAGACCAAGACTGTATACCGAAGTGCAGCGACCTCTGCTTTTTTGCGGCGGAAGATCCGAAGCACTCAGGAGAAAGGCCACCACCAGCTTGCCGAGGCCGAGGCCTCGCAGCCAGGAGAGTCGAAGGTCCCCGAAGTCTCCCCCAGAAGCCACGACCGCACTCCGGGCCAGAAGCCCCGGCCGGGCCTCGGATCAAAGCTCGATCTCCTTCTTTGCCACCGGCAGCGCAGCGAAGGCGGCCCGGAGCTTCTCCTTCTCCTTCTCGGCTGGGGGGTGGTATGTGTGGCAAGGCCCACAGGATAAAAAAGTCTCGGGTTTAGGCTAGTTGGGGTTCAGAATTTTGGGTTGAAGGTTGAGGGTTGCGGGGGCGTCCCGCTTCGATTCAAGGCATTTGCATGTGCTCACAAGTCCAGAGGCGTGACACTGCTAAGCATTCTGTGACCGTGTAAGAACAAACGAGTTCGGATGTTGCTAAGCATACGCCATAACCCTGCAAAACCGAAACACCAAGGTCCAAAAGACCTTTTGTGAAAGAATTAAAAGCATTGAGGTCAAGCAGCGCCCGGACCAGCCATACGGCGAAATCCTGGCAGTTCGATTAGAGGACAAATTAGCCAATTGTCCTGTCAGCACAGTCATGCATGGGCCTCCACGGCCCATGAAAGCAATGACACAAAATGGGTTCCATTCCGTCCTCCACAGCCGAACCGCCGCGGAGATGGCCGCGTTGGCAGTCTCGCCACGCGCCACACCGATCATGACGGAATGCGACCAGCCATCTTGGAAAGCCTTGCAGCATGAGCTTGGTCAGGTATGTGCCAGCATTTAGAAGCAACCCAGTCTCTGTCCAGCACCTAATGTTGGGCCGTCTCTTGCGTGATATCACACACCTGCTGCCAATTTTCTCAATCTAGATCGATACGGTACTCTCTCTATCGCATCCTGTGTTCAGCTTGCCTTCTTTTCTTGGCACTACCCGCTGTGTAGCACCTTTTCTGTTGCCTTGAATATCCTTGAATTCCCATCCGGTGTGTGGGTGTCTTTTTGGTGTGCGCTAGCTCTCCTCTGTTCGCACAACGCATCTTCTACGGCCTCTTTAGCGCAATCTTGCTTGCAAGCATGTTTTCCAAATGCTTTATGCCCATATCCTGTTTTCGGCATGTTTGGAGAGTTTGGAAAGTACTCTCTACCCCTCTCCTGCTTGGAATGTGTGCTCTTGCCGTTGGTCTTGGTGTATCGGCCGTCGCCCACGCTTGAGGTATAGGGCACCGCACGCGACACTCAGCCAGGCCATGGCAGCGGCATCAGGAACTTTCACCAGCAAGGGTCCCACGGCTTCGGCGCAGCTTGCAGGTTCTCTTTGCCCTTCTGTGGTTGCGGTGTACCGGCGCTGTGGTGCGCGCGCTGGGCGGGGATGGGATGGAGGGGAAATCCGTGACACGCCGCTACGCCGTTACACCAGCCAGAATGCGCTCCTGCATTGGTGTATCGGTTAGAGAGGCCCGGAGAGGCGCAGCAGCGAGCCATTGTACAGATACGCCGGTCGGATCGTGCGCATGTGCAAGTGTATCGGTGTATCGGTGCAAGCTGATTTCCGACCGCTGTTTGCGGGCCCGTGATATTGCTATCTAAAAAGCAGCAACGTAGCAACTCCAGCAGACAGACTTTCAGACTTGTTTGTGCTGGCGTCGTAGGGGAAAAAGCTTTCCGACTGTAGTGTGCCATGGATCCCTTGCGTCTACAAGTGCACTTGAAGAGTCCGATCCCATGGCTCTTCATAAGACAAGCTTGGGCTTTCGCAAAAAGCTTGGCTTAAGCCAAAATGCTTCGGGTCAAGCTTTGGGGTTTTTATCTGTTCGGTGCATAGACCTCCCAGCTGATTGCCAAAGCACCGGGTCGCATCCGGACCCCACCACACGGACGCCAGATTGCCCGAAGGCAAACTCGTGGTGGCCTGCGGAGATGGCTTGCGCAAGAATGACCACGTGCATCTAATGGTTCCACTGGGGCTCCAGCCAACCACGACGCCCGTGTGGAAGATGAGGCCACATGGGAGGAGCGGCATGACATGGTAGGTCATGTAGACCGTCACCTTCTGAAGCAATATGCTAAGGTTCTGCAGCTTGCAACTCCTACATTAACTCCCCTGGTTCCCAATCTCAGGCAACTCACCTAAGCATTAGCTGAGTCAACGTCTGGCATTGCTGTGACGGAGCCTCAAGTTGCCCGAACGACTGTGCACAAATCAATATGTTTGCAATATGCTTTGCAAGCCGGCGTCCATTGCCGATTTCATGGCCTACCCCACCGGGTTTGGCCAAATGCAAACAGTTCGTCTGGGATCTGAATGATGCATCTTGCCATGCTCTTGGTGTTGCAAAATTTTGCTAGGTCCTTGCATCCGTAAGCACGTCTTTGGGGGACTAGCAAATGGGTTCAAGCCTCGCTGGGGCTGGGCTGTGACCAGTTTGGGCGTCCTACGTCTGCCCAAGCCCGTCCACCATGGTGCAATCAAACACTCTGCCATCCGCATCGCCAGCTGAGCCCTCGACGGCCCCTCAGAGTCTTGTACAACCAAACGTCAAAGTCCCACACCCTCAATATCTCTTGACTCTGATTCAATGGGTGACAACGAATAGAATCCCGGCTCGATTGCGGTTCTGTCGGCTAGGCTGCTGATGGGACAACGGTGGTTTGGCCACTGTTGTTCCTGTTTGTTGTCACAACTGCTTCCAAAAGGCTACAATTGGACAGGATGCCCATACCCCTTTTGCTGGGATGGTTCTTGATGCACGCTGGCGCGGCTGCTGATCAACATATTGCCTGCTTGCAAGAACTTAAGTTTCAGATCCGTAATCCAAACCTGCAGCGAAAAGTCGGCACAACTTGTGACAAGAGCTTCAGTGTAAGCTGGCCATTCCAAAAATTGAACTTGCTGCCTTAGGCCCCTGCTTCGCATTTCATCCCGCAGTCCGACGTCAAACTTTCTATCGTTTTGCTGATCACGAATTTGGGCCATGATGTTGGGCCAGTCCTCTTGTATAGGAGGAGCGAGGTCTTCTCACCGTAGGACCAAACTTTAGAGCCCTAACACTAAGCCCTGCACCTTGGACACTACAGTTTAGCAGCCTATAAGCCCAAACTCCCACACCCAAGATCCAGGATCCTGGTACTACAAGAGCACCGGGATGAGGGATCAACTTCCGAGCTAAGCCCGCGCACTCAAAGTCTTGTTAGTGGCGCGTCTTCTGGGCGCTCTACCCTTTGTACTGGTTGCCGAGCGTTTTCTCTGTGGTTTCTATCTTAATCATATTTGCAGCGCCTCTCTGTTGTGCTGTTTACACACCCTTGGTTTGAAGACTGCTGGCTTGTGATTTCGATGTGTCCGCGACTTGCAATAAAAGCCTTTGCGCTCGACACAAGTCCGCACTGTGAGAGTCACATATCACAAACGTCAATTCAGGCACTTCTGTAATTTCAAACCCAACGAAAACTGGCTGCCAGAAAGCCTCGATGCTCACATTGTTAATGCATGCCTACTTGCCCCAAATCAATCCAGCCACGTGCCCTCGCAAGAAGCGTGACAACAAAATGAGGGCTTTGAGAATGGTCACGTCAACATGCCATCAGAACACTTTGAGAAGCTGGATATTCGAATGAATTTGCTGGCTGCCTGCAGAACCGCTCCTCGAAGCAAAACCAAGAAAAGAATGTCGTCATGGTGCTCAGGTGATGTGGACTGCCCCGTTGCATCTTCGGCCAGGCAGGTGCAGGAGGGTTGGGACGCCACTCAAGGCCATGGGAAAACCACAACCGCCCAAAAGAAGCGGGAAACGGACCATGCCTCGCATTTGGAGTGTTTTGGGAGATCACAAGCCATTTCACCAAGCTCCCCTCCACCCCCTCCGGCCGTGATCTGCTGGCAGGACTGCTCACTCACCAAAACATCCGGCCGTTCAGCGCTACACTGAGGCACCCCAAAATGTTGTCAGCAGAAAACCGGAAGGACAACAGCAAAAAGATTACCCTGACCAGGTTAGCTGAACAACAACAACAACAGCAGCAGCAACAACACCACCACCACCACCACCACCACCAACAACAACAACAACAGCAACAGCAACAACAACAGCAGCAGCANNAACAACAACAACAACCACCAACCAACCACAACAACAACAACACCAACACCAACACCAACACCAACACCAACACCAACACCAACACCAAAACCAACACCACCACCAACACCAACACCACCACCACCACCACCAACAACAACAACAACAACAGCAGCAGCAACAGCAACAACAACAACAACAACATCATCAACAACTGGCAGCATGACAGAACAACAACATGCTGTCCTGGAGACACGCACATCGGATAGCTCCGATAAGAAAAAACATCTCTTCTTGCAAACACATCCACCCTGCTCCCTTCTGTTACAGTTTGCAAGAGAACATCTTCGGATCGTCATGCTCCAAGTTTCAAGCTGGCTTTTCCTGACGGGCGCCGTGGCCTCCTCCACCACTTCAGGCTGCGCCTGCATTCGACAAGAACTGGTCCAGGCAGGGTTTCGGGCAGTATAGGGTTTATGGTTTTGCGGTTTAAGGGTCGGGTAGTAGTGCCTAAGCAGGTTAAGATCATCATTACCTGCAAGCACTGTTTGCTTGGTGTTCATGGCTGTCAACAGATTTACAAGTTCATAAGGGCCTGATTGATTGCAGATGCTGGTGGTGCAGAGCAAACAATCCCGAGTCCACACACTCACGGAGAGAGGATTGGGGAGAGAGAGGCAGGGCTAGATGGATGGATCGATGCATAGATGGGAAGATGGGTAGATGAATAGGTGGATAGACGGACAGACGACAGATGGGCCTTCCATGTTACACGATCAAAGTGGATACGAAGACCGACGAAGAACAAGTCATCAACAAAAGACAGCGCACTGCTGGACGCACTCTGTGCCAAGCCCTACAGCAGGCCCGTGCAATCCTTGGTCAATTTGTGCTTCCGGGGCTGCGGGACTCGAACGAACGAACTCTCAACCGAACAGCCAAAACTATCAAGAAAATTCAGCCTCAAACACCCATCCTTGCAACACTACACAGAGTGAATACTTCGAGCTGCAGATCCACAAAACTCATGTCACGAATCTTGGAGTCTTACAATTGGCAGTGCAGTCTTCTGGAAAAATGTCGAGACAACAAGCGGTGTGCACCTCCGGGGTCGTGATGGGCTCGTGCGCAGCCGCCACCTGCCGATATCCGTGTCTATGTATACACACGAATATGTATGTGTGTGTATGCATATATATATATATATAGCTCCATATATACATAAGTATCTTTCTTTTTTAAACCAATGTGTACATACATACATACATACATACATACATACATGCATGCATACATACATACATACATACATACATACATATGCATACATATGCATACATAATATATGCATGTAAGAGAAAACTTCCTGTACAATGTGTTGCGCCGGGTCTGTTGGGGGAAGGGTTTAGATTTAGATAGTTTAGATAGTTCGGGGGCTCAGTTTAGATAGTTTAGATAGTTCGGAGGCTTGGTTTAGATGGTTTGGATAGATTAGGGGCCGGGCGGAGGGTCCAATCTATGAAAACCAGCTAAACTATCTAAACTATCTAAGCCGCGAGGGGTTTAGATAGTTTAGATAGTTTTGGGGGCCGGGCGGAGCGCCAAAACTATTTAAACTATCTAAACCAGGAGGGTTTAGACACGTCAGTACGGGCTCTGACACCGTCACTGGATCACACTCTGAGTGAACGGCCGTAGGCTTTGCAGTTCTTCTCAAAAAAAGGAACCAGCCACTCAAAGCATATGCACAAAGAAAGACAATCGACGAGGACTGGCATGTAACTGACCTGGAAACGAGAAGGAGACTGAAGACTATGCAGAGAAGCCATGCCGTGTGGACCGCGGCGGCCTGAAACTCCTCATCCGGTACTGCCTGGAAATCAGCAACGGTTGGTTCGGGGAGCAGAAAGGCAACAGGGATTTAGGTCGCAGGCACCTGGTTCGATATGGTGATATAATCTGTTGAACCGTCGACATCAAATCGGGGAATGTCTGCCTGGTACTCATGGCAACACAAGAGCGCTGAACACACGGGTCTAAGAATCTGTTCGAGGCCAGCGCACAAGTTTGCAAATCATAAGCCCGTGCTTATTTAATTCCTAAGGCTGAGAGAGAGAGAGAGAGAGAAGAGAGAGAGAGGGAGAAGAGAGAGAGAGAGAAAGAGAGAGAGAGAGAGACAGACAAACAGAAAGACAGAGAGAGAAAGAGAAGGAGAGCGCGAGGAACTCTAAACCCCAAACCCACAGCCCTAAACGAGAGGCCTCCGGCATACCAAGATCGAAGAGAAGAGTCACGAGCCATCCGGGCAAGAAAAAAATAGAACCCTACCCGTACAGCAAATCATGTAAGCCTCCAGCCTTGTATTTCGGAGATATCGGGCACTCTAACGGCTTCTACCAAAAAAGGATGCCGGAAAGGGCAACAAAAATGAACGCATCTCCGAACATGCAGGCCTTCCGGCACATGTCTTGGAAATCATCTTCAATGCGAAAAGCTGGTTATTGCCAATCGAAGATCTCACACCTATACTATACGCGCAGCTTTATAAACACCCATAAACATCAAGACAAACACACACTCTCTGCCTCCGTTGTGCCAGCTGGATCTGGCAGCACTGCTTCCTGAAGCTCAAGTGTCACATTCTCGCTGTCTGTGCGTGTCTGTCTGCGGTGGGGGCAGCACACGTTCGCTCGATTCGTGGTGGAAACACCGGAATTTCCATTGCCGACTTTGCCAATCAGAGTACGCTGTGACGATCGTGCTGAAGTGCTTGTCGCGGGTTGGGTCTGGAATGCCGAAAAGCACGGGAACCGGCCAAACATGCACAGAAGAAACGCACAAAGAAGAACCCTCAAGACCGAACAGTCGCTGTTCAAGAGTTTTGGCGCTGCCAGACAGCCACCTTACAACAGCCGACTGGCGGCAAGAAGCTCAACACGTCTTTCTCTTGGAGGCACTCATACCCAAACCA